CTCGACGTCCTTCTAGGTAAATCTCTTCACCATCGGAATCTTCGGATTCCATCTAAACAGTCTGTACCAGTTTTTCGCTAAGCGTCTTTAAGAAAGCACTCACAATAAATTTTGATGGAAATACTATTTCTTGTGACTCGTCGAGTTTCGGGAAATCATCAAAGGTAATGAGCTTCTCTCGATCCAAACCATTGCTTTGTTCTTTGCAGGGACATTTACCCTACACAATCAAAGTTACATACGGTGGAAACTTTTTCGAACTTATAAATCTCAAGCTATTTCAAAATTTTGAAACTGTACACGAGGTGTCAAGAGTAGAAACACTCACACCAGATCCCTGACAACAACCACTGGGCGAGAACGATTGCAAAGCTTCAATTATTGGACGATAGCCAGTACATCGGCATAGATTTCCTTGAAAACAGGGAATCTGTAGTCAATCTCTTAGAGCAAAGCTCACTAGGAACAGGAATATCTATACGGTACTTAATGGCCAGAATGAAGGGCTCTTGAGAAAGGAAAAAACGAACAAGATGCTTGCTTACCTTTTATCGCCTGATTTATTTCGCGGATAGATGGACTAGGATTGTTCCGCAAAAGAGTGTACGCAGACATGACAAATCCTGGCGAGCAAAATCCACCTAAAATACGAGTCATCACATTCGAAAAAAAGAGGTTCCAAGCGGAATTCTCAGTCAACTCACACTGAGTTCCATGTCCTCGTGCAATGCGTTCTTGGACGGGATGTAATTTTTTCACATTTCCTATTGCTTCCACTGTTAGGACAAGCCGGTGATGTGCCATATATAGGGGGTATAAGCAGGCATTCACAGCTACGTATCTGCAGACGTACCTTTTGGTTCTATTCTGCTAGTCCGTTTTCGTATAATTCTTTGAAATCATAAGCAGGTAAAAGTAGCAGGCAAGAGCAGGGAAAAACGCAAAGTTATGTGACAAACTTTTTAAAGTTATTTTATGTATGCATGCAAGCTAAGTTACTAAAAATGTTCTTGAGCATCTCCACTTTTACAACGTCACATAAATGAGCAAGTTTACACTTACTGTACCTACATAGCTCTGTTCAGAGTGCGATCCCACTTTCCTATTGTAACCGTGCAAGCACCACATGCACCTTCTTCACATGCGAGTTTGGTTCCCGTCAGACCCACTAAACGTATATCAGCGAAAGCGAGAATAATAACGGCTTTATGTAATCCTAATAACCGTTCGCTTACGCTCGTTCCTCAGATAATGAGCCAATGTCGTCTCAGGATCCACATGATCTGCGTGAATATATTTTCCATTGACGTTGAAATGAATAGTAGTGCATTTCATGCCCTTCATCTACAACATATAGTTAACTCATGTGCAGTCTTACTATGTATAGAGAAAGCATGGGCATCATAATTAGTTTGGGGTAAATCGTGGGAGACTGCTAGTGT